TTCATTTTTTTCCTTCCTTGAAGGAGTTGTTCAATTTTTGGTTTCTTTTCAAATGGTCCAGGTTCATCACTCATCATTATTGCTTCACTTTGTAGTTTGTCATGTTACTCTGCCACTGGTCATGCTATAGGTAGGCCTCTGGATCCACGCTTCTGGTACATTCACGCTGTTTCTGGCTGCTTTCAAGTGTAGAGGCTCAGGAGGTCATGTCTGTGGTTCCTGGGGCTCCTGGTCGGCTTGTGTTGCTTGGATATTGGATGTGGGGCACAGCAGCATTTTCTGTAAGTTTTCTTCACCATGCATGGATCTATTGGGTAAGCAGCTGAAGAAAAAAACTGCAGGTCTACAGATCATGGCAGAGGAGCAGACTAGCTGAGCTGCTCCAAAATAACTCCACCGAGGCCGGTAGCCCATCGCCAAGTCACCCTTTATTTACACAAGAGTCCTTGATACTGACCCAGATCCCTCAGAACCAGCTTTCAGAGTGAACAGGATGTCTGACACCTGTTCTTATCTGCCAGCCAGGTCTCCCTGATTGGACCAGGTTATCAGCCCCAATCAGGGAACTCGTATTCTATTAGATCTATCTGGCTGACCTCATTACAATCACTATACACTTTCAGTGAATAGCCATGGACATGATGGGCTGAATATTCTCCTATGTTTCTAGCACTGGCTCTACACAACAGTTCCTAGTATATTTCTTATTCAAAATTATTTGCATTACCACTGCAAACTTACTTTATCATGCACTGATAGTTCATCTGGACCAAACTGAAACACGATGCAACAAGCTGGCAAAGCCTGTTAAGAACATGCTCTTTTCTGTAACCCATGGTTTTCGGAAATTGAATTTGCGCAATGACATGGCAAACTACATGTGCGCAACAAAAGAATGTAGGCAGGCGGTGAGATGAGTGTCAAGGACTTTGCAAACGACCCGTTGTTTGCTATGCACATGTTGGAGACCATGGGGTTAAAGTAATATTCCATGTTAGCTGTTTCTAAGACCACTTCTGAAAAAGTTTCTTTCCAAGTTCAAAATCTATCCACTGTTTCCTTAAATTCAGGCTTCTAACATTGAGAGTCAATCTTGTGGATTTTCACAGCCCCTAACACTCGATCATTTGTCTGTTTGGGACCAAACCTCCACATTCAGCCTGACCAGAGCTAAATGGATCAGCTCTGACAAATGTCTTGGGTGTAGATTAACCCCATAGCTAATGTGGAAGAAGGTTTGATGGAATGCCAGATCACTATTATTGGCTCCCTTCTTAACATAATCTTGAACATGACCTCATTATGCAATGGCTAGCACTCGATATCCCAAAGTTTACTTGCACTTTTTCCCACTTGTGTTTAACTGGTCCCAGAAATAGACCTTCAATGCAAGTGCAATTTGAATAATCGCTAAAACAAGATTTGAATGTGTACATTCCTGAGTCAAATTTCAAAATGCTGCACAATCACCAAATTAGCAAACTTGGATAGAAGAGATTCCATTTATCATGTTTCCTGAGTGCAGTCTAATATTTTAGATATTATCTATGGCATTTTCGAATTAGATCGGAGATGAAAAAGAATTAGTTTAAAATTATGATGCAGAAAACAGAGTACTTAAAAATCATTATTGTGAACAAATAGATGCTAAACAAAAATCAATTTTCCTTATGAAAATATATATTAAGGGTGGGTTAGGTTCTCGACCTAAAATTTTTACATTACATCTGCGTTGAAACTAATTGGCCCAAAATTCCTCCAGCTAACTTAATTCTTTCTCCTTCCTTTTACTTGCTGATTCCTCCCCCTGACCGCTCCGTTGCCTGATTCCCTCCCTGACCTTTTTGCTTGACTCACACTGCCTGCCCACTCTCTCACTCTCACTGGTCACCTGTTTTGCTCCAGATGCTTTGTGGTGCAGTGGTTGTGCACCTAGCTCTGGACCAGGAGTTCTACATTCATCCCACCTGCTCCAGAGCTGTGTAATAACATTTCTGAACAGGTTGATTAGAAAATTTCTAAATTGAGATATTTGGCCAACCTTTGAGAGGATAAATGGAAATCACTTCATTTTCACCATTGTAAGATTTTGGGAAATAATTTTAATTGTAAGACCTAAGTCAATTAAAGTTATAGACTGAGTTTTGGGAGGAATTTGATCTAAAAGCTTACTAGTCCTGATTAGCTACAAGGCCCATTCAAGGTACAACTATGTTTTCACAAATTTTACAGGATCCATTAAGTTATCAAACCAACAACAAAATAAATAATACTTTTTTAAAAAAAGAAAAGTAGTGATTTTTAGTTGATCCATTTCAGGACGCAATTTGTGACATCAGTTGCCTGGGTATTGACCGTTGCTCTGTTTTGTTGACTGAGGTTCTTCTTCTGGCTTTGGTCTTCGTACTTGTGCATCGAATTATTAAAACCCATGCCTTATTTATCCTTAATAGCCAATACTTCCTGTGCATGATTGGAGACACACTGAACTCCACTTGGCTGATTAGTGCATTATCAGTTGATGGTAAATCTTGATGTGGAGGTGCCAGAGTTGGACAAGGTCAGAAGTCAGACAACAGCAGGTTATAGTCCATCAGGTTTGTTTGAAATTACTAGCTTTTGGAAGGTTGCCCCTTCATCAATGCTCCGAAAGCTTGTGATTTCAAATAAATCTTTTGGACTATAGCTGGTGTTGTCTGTCTTCTGATCATGGTAAATCTTGGATTAGCTACATAGTATGTACCTAATTCCTGCTAGGTTTTGTTTTAAAGTAATGATCATCGTAGTGACATCATTTAATACTGTCTCCTAATACATTCTTTGATGTGCCAATCTCTTTTGTAAGATCATCCTTTGTGCAGAAGCTTGTCTCTCTTAACATCTTTCTCAATTACATACATCTTTACTAAGTTAATGCAGTGTCAATAAGGCCATTTATATGTCTGCCTAGGAGTATGTGGTGTCACTACTAGTGATTATATATCATCTCTAATGTCCCAAATAATACATCTAAGGAGATTGAAATAACTACAAAATTCACTGAACTTCATTCCAATAGACATACATATAAACAAAGCTACAAAACGAAAATATTTTTAAGTTTTTTTTTACCTCCAAAGCATTTTTACATGTGTTAGCCTGAATTTCTGTTAGGCTGAGCCAACTCTAAACCAATGACTTACTTTTGTCCTGGACCATATGGCTTTCTTCCTTACAAAAACTGTTTAATAAGTAACAACAATAAACAAAATATAACTCTCCAGTTGCTTAATAAAGTCAAAATTATTGATAATTGAAATATAACTCCAACCTATACCATAATAATTTCCAATGCCTGCATTAGACAAATTGAATCCTTCACTTTTTGGAATCTGTTTTCCCGAATTTATTTTGTAAGTTTTCTAGTTTCATAACACACAGTACAAAATCCTAATGTAAATTTTCCCTTATCAATAAAAGATACTTAACTTTGAATTTCTGATTCACTTTTTCTTAATGAATTGTGCTCAAAAAAAATGTCAGTTGTTTTCATTTTCATTTCTCAGGTTTGTCCCTTGAGCGGCAGGATTCGTCTGTTACCTCACGAGTTCGTCTGTTTGAACGAGAGGAAGAGACAATGTCATGTTTTGAAAAAGCTAGTATTATTGCTCTGGTCTACTTACAAGAAGAAGAACGGGTAAAGAAAACTGTTTCAACTCATTTGTTTCAAACAAAAATAAAGGAGTGAATGGGAAGAAGTCTGAGAAACATTTTAGTGAATCGGATGTTGCAGTACATTTGCACATTGTCTTTGAAACTTGACTTTGCATTTATGTTAGAATGATGAGTTGGAGACCTCTTCTTTCTAGAAAGTATGCATTGTGAAGTAGCCCCTTTAATGTTCTGGAGTATTTCAAGCTGACTTGTATTTGAACTCACCTTTATATCCTGAGATATGTCAATGCAGTATTATCAATCACTTTAGAACTTTGGAACTGATTTAACTTTATCTATCCAGCACGAAAAAATTGTGCCAGCCATCTTACTTTTTGGATGTGCAGCAGGCACAGAACGTTTTTTCCTCTCCCCATTCTTGAAATGTTTTTTGCCTCTTCTTCCCTTGATTTTTTTTATATTCATTTGTGGCATGAAGACATCTGTGTCAGCATTAATTTCCTAGCCTGAGTTGCATGAGAAGATGATGGTGAGCTACATTCTTGAACTGTTGCAAACCGTGTGCAGTAGGTGGGCCCACAATGATGTTACGGGGAGAATTCCAGGATTTTGTCCCAATGACACTGAAGGGACAAAGTTATTTTGTTCTTTTGTTCTATTCCTGGGTTTAGTTCTGAGGATATCAGCTGTCCTCTTGCACTGGATTCAAGTGGCTAGTGATTTGGGAGACTGGACAAAGAGATTGGAGAGATCTTTTGGAGGAAGAGGAGAGTAATATGGCCCACTAAATCCTGTGTGTTTGTAGTTGCTAGTTTGAAATCAGGAGCAGAGTTAGCTGAATTGTTCTTTTCTGCTGGTTTCTTCCACTGTATTTGGTAGCAATCCAACTGTCTCACTTCTCAAAAACAGAAGTTGCTGGAAAAGTTCAGAGTTAACATTTCAGAGTAAAAATCAGAGTTAATGTTTCAAGGGTCAACAGACTGAAACACTAACTCTGATTTTTTTTCTTCACAGATGCTGCCAGACCTGCTGAGCTTTTCTAGCAACTTCTGTTTTTGTTCCTGATTTACAGCATCCACAGTTCTTTCAGTTTTTATTTTGTCTCACTTCTCAATTGCAATTAACATAGTACAAATTGGGAACAAACCCAAGAACTTCCTGGTATTAATAGCTAACTAGATTGCAGTATTTGTCCACTGATCCATCAATGAACTTGAGAGTAAATTTACAAGTTTTAGAAGTGAACCTAGAATAGGGAATATTATTTAATATCATAACAGTCTATATAGGTCTCCTATTACAATGCCCGAAAGTGGTTCACACAAATTGTATTTGAAGTCTGTTGATGTTTGGCAAATGCCACAACTGTTTTACACGAGCGATATTAGCTCAGACAGGAATGAGAAGATTAGTAATTAAAGTATCTTTCAATTGTGAAACAAGTACTGCCTTATGCATTAGGAAAACTCCTTGTTCCTCTTTGAATACCACCATGAGACTCTTGTGATAGACTGATTTATCTGCCAGTGAAGAGAAAGGAGGTTGCTATAGTTATACAATTAATAGAATAGGTCTGTAGAAACTGTATAATAGAGCTTGTTTTCATCAAGATTAGGCTGAGTAACACAATGGGAAAGTTAAAGGTATGCTGTATTACTTCTGCTGATGAAGAGTATTCTATTTATTATTTATTTTACACTTTGTCTCATTTAATCAGCTTGCATCATTCTTTCTCTCTCCTTCCACTTTCCAAATCCTATAAATAACCAATACTTTTTGATTGACAAGATTAATCAAACTGTAAACATATGCAGCAGAGGCAAATGGTGACTTAAGCTGATTTCCCCGAGCATTTCCCCATCTTTGCTTTGTCTCAGAAGAGCAAAGGTTACATACTAAAGAATGTGTGTCAAACACTCCTTGGGTTTATGGTTTTTAATGATTTTATATATATATTAAAAGAAGTTTACTCACAAGGAGGAGATAAAGATTTCAACAATTAACAAACGGATTTATTTTTTCATTCCTGCCAGAAAAAGGAAGTGGTGACATTTTAGTGCAACAGTAGATTAAACCACTACTCTGTATTGTATTCTCTAGCAGTGAAGTTTCACACTGAGAATCAGAAAGGAGTGATGAATTTTCCAGTGACCAACGGAAAGAATCATACAACAGGATTTAGTGTTTTAAGACTCTGGCTGTAAAAAGCAGACTAAACTTAACATTAGTAGACAACTAATGCATTAAGCTACAGAAAATGCAACTGAAACCCTGTGCCTCCTTATTACATACCACTCTCAGTGGATGCTTTGTCTTATATTTAAAGTCCCAAGCTTCTGGCTTTAACAGGATCTCTCCTCCAGGATGAGTCTTCCAGTGTTCTTTTTAAAACAGTCCCTTCATTCAATCTTCTAAACACATTTGAATGAACAACCAGTAACGCAGCACCTTCTGGTGACTTATTGGTCTTTCACCATCCAAAGCTTTGATTGGGTATCCCTCCTCACTGTACTTGTTGGTTAATCCAGAAATAGTCCTTTTCTTCTGCCTGACATAGTAGTTTCGGAAGAAGGGTCTAGGCCCGAAATGTCAGCCTTCCTGCTCCTCTGATGCTACTTGGTCTCCTGTGTTCATCCAGCTCTACACCTTGTTATCTATAGTAGCATCTATTGATGGGTTTTCACCAAATCTCTGATTTAGAGCTTGAGAGTCTATAAGCAGCAATCTTTTGTGTTAATGTGTTAATACTTGTACCTTACTTGCAATAAGTTTTTTATGTTTCTGTATCCATAACAAGCAGGCTACATAGATTTGTTTCAGACCAATTTCTAAAATTCTCCATTTTACCTTGAATTAAAGGAGGCAGTTTAACACATAACACTCTCAAAGAAACAGCATTCATAACAATGCTGGCAGGAAAAGAAAGCATTAGTTTATATCAGTCAGTCACTGTATTCCTGAGGATGATTGAACCTCAAGCAGTCTTTTTACCATAAGCCCTTGTCAGAGGATCTGGGTCAACAGTTGGTCATGAGTAAATCTAATAGACTTTAATAGGTTGGATGTCTAGGCCACAACATTGGCATATTGCACATATTGTTCTTCAATCATGCTGATAACACATGTTCATCAAATAACTATTGGTGACGTAACTGATGTTAAGAGTTGATAAAATAGCTGTATCACACACTTGGTTTCAGAATGTAGTTTTATCTGATGGCAGTGTTCACTATAAAGCTGAAAGTAATTGTTGAGACACCATACTGTTCCTTATATCTTAACGTGTTGTTTTGCTTTTTGTTTTTCATTTGCTTCTTCAAGACCATGATCAGCACTCAGTCTAGAGCCACTAAGGGAAATGTGGCTGTTCAGGAGTTGGAGCTCACATATTTTCTTGAAGCTGCATTGCAAAGTGCTTATGTGCATTATTTCAAGAAAGGGTAAGCAATCCAATAAATTTGCATTTAACATGTTGAGTCAACACAAAACCTTATTATCCTCCTCTATATGTTGTGCTCTGGAGGAATGACTTGTGCAATTTTCGAAAAGGAAAGTGCACTTTAAACTGTAGAAAATTTAAAAACCTCACACAGTTGGGAATGCAGCACTGCCATGGGGTGATGACAATTATTTTTGATTTCTTAGGATTGGAATTTCACTCTCAATTAGGAGGGTTAAATTGGGACATTTCCTAGCTCTGCAAATCCAACCCAGGAGAAAGAGGCCCAGAAGTTGGACTTTTTGTTCTAAGCTCTGTATTTCCATGGGAGTCAAACTGATCACTGAATGAGCGCACAGGCCGTCGAATACTGATGTGGTCGGAGTAGGAGGCGTGATTCAGTACACTGGCACAGGTGCTTAAAACAAAACCAATAAAACTAACAATATGCTACACAGACACACATAAACATATAGAATAAAGGGGAACCATTAGCTGTAATATATTTGGATTTCCAAAAGGTGTTCAGTAAGTTAGTGCACATGCGGCTAATTAAGATAAGAAATCATGTTTTGCGAATTGTATGTTAGCATAGGTAGAGGATCGGCTAAATAATACAGTACAGAGAGTTGGGCTAAAGAGGGCACTTTCAGGATGGCAAGCTGTAAATAGAAGAGTGAAACAGGGATCAGTGTTGAGTCCACAATTATTTACAATATACTTTCAATGACTTGGATGCCGGAAGTGAATGTGCTATCACCAAGTTTTCAGATGACACAAAAATAGGTGTGAAGGCAGGTAGTGAGGATGACACAAAGTGTGTGCTAAGGGATATAGATAGGTTGAGTGAGTGAACAAGCACTTCACAGAGAAAATAATGTGGGGACGTTATGCACTTTGGCAGGAAGAATAGAAAATTGAACACTAACTGCAGAAAGACTGCAGAAAGTTGCAGCACAAAGGGTTTTGAGGATCCTTGTGCATGAATTGCATAAGGCTAGTATCCAAGGTTAGTAGATAATAGGGAAGGAAAATGGACCGGTGACCTTTATATCAAAGGAAATGGAGTATACATAAAGAGGTGTTGCTAAAGCTGTACAAAGCACTAGTCAGACCACACCTGTTCAGTATTGTGAACAATTTTGTTCTCCTTGTCTCAGGAAAGATATACAGGTATTGGAGGAAGAGAAGGTTTGTGGTTAATACTGGATATGGAGGGATTTCCTTATGAGGAGAGGTGGAGTAAGATACACTCATTAGAATTTACCAGAATGATGGGCAACTTTATTGAAACAATTAAACTTGTTATAGGGCTTGACAGAGTAGATGCTGCAAGGTTGTTTGTCCTCGTGAGAGTCTTGCTCCAGAGAGCATGATCTCCGAGTCAGTTGCTGTCCATTTAGGACAGAGATGAGGAGGGACCTTTCTTTGAAGGTAGTCAATCTGTGGAATTCTTTACTGAAGTGGGCTGTAGAGGTTGGGTCATTAACTATAGATCACACCTGCTGATACTTAGGAGTGTGTGCAGGAGCAGCAAAAAAAATTGAGAGATTTAAATAAAGAGTGATTTTAAAAACGTTTAAAATAAGGAAAACCAAAATCAGCTGAAAGAGTATCATAAGTGAATAGAGAAAATGGTTAAACAAGCAAAATTTTTTTTCATTTTTAAGAAATTGGCTCAATGGCACACATGCGCCGTCTGAAAGAAATGAAGGTGAGCATGTGCAGTTGGCATTCATCATGGAATTGTGGTTTCAGCAAACATATTGTTAAGTATATTCAAGACTGATGTTACAGATTTCTAATCATTAAAGAAATTGATGGTTATGGGGATAAGACAGGAAAATGGCGTTGAGAAATATTGGGTTAGCTGCGATCTCATTGAATAGTGGAGCAGGCCTGATGGGCCAAATGGTCTACTTCTGCTCCTACATCTTGTGATCTGATGGACAGTTCAGACTGTTGAAATATTTGGAAAATCATCGCAATGTGTCCATTGTATCTCTCGCCATCTCTTTTAGAGCTTTAGGATATTGGCCATCTGGTCCTGGACACTTGTCAGATTTTAGTCGCTTGGATTTCTCTGGTATTCCTCCACTACTGATATCAAATAGCTTCATTTCCTCACTCTAATTCGCCCTTAGTTAAGCTTCTATTTCTGAAATGCAACTTATCTCTTCTATGAAGACTGACACAAAATATTTCTTTCATGTCCCTGCTATTTCCTCATCCCTGATGATAATTTCTCCTTTCTCTGTTTCTAAGGAATCACTGTTTATTTTAGCGATTTTCATTTCACATACTTTTAAAAAAAAGCACTTTACCAGGGCTTTTATAAATTCCTACAAAATGTTCTCATTTTGTCTTTTCCTTTATTGTTAACTTCTTAGTTTCTTTACTTTTTTTGAAAAAAAACTTGTATTCCTCGCAATTGTTGTTATTCTTTGCAACATTTTAATCTAATACTATCATAGAATTCCCAGAGTGTGGAAACAGGCCATTTGGCCCAACAAGAACACACTGACCATCCAAAGAGCACCCCACCCAGTACCATCCCCCACACTATCTCTCTAACCCTGCATTTCCAGTGGCTAATGCACTTAACCTACACATCCCTGAACATTATAGACAATTTAGCATGGCCAACCTACCTAACTTGCACAACTTGACCTCGAGCAAAAGGGTCAATATCCAGAGGACCTGAGTTTAAATTAATTGTCAAAAAGAACAGAAGTAAGATGAAGGTAATTATTTTAACAGGAAATTATGATTAGGAGTGCATTACCTAATAGGTTGTTGGAAGCAGTTGCAATAGTAACTTTTTAAAGGGAATTAGATAATGTAATTAACAGGGGTAATTTATAGGCCTGTGAGGAAGAAAAAGGCTAATTGGATATCTCCTTCAAAGAGCTCCAGCATTGTTCAAATTACTGCCTTCTATAGTATTTGTTTTATATTTGTTCATGGGATGTAACTGTTGCTGCTTGCACCCTCTCTTTAATTGTCATTGAGTGGTTTGATACACCATTTTGGAGGATATTTATGAGGCAGCCACTTTGTTGTGTGTCTGGAGTCACATGCAGGCCAGACTGAGTAAGGGTCACTGGTTTCCTTTCCTAAAAGACATTGGTGAACCAGGTGGACTTTTATAACAATCGACTGGTTCCATGATTGCCATTAGGCTAGCTTTTCTAATTCCTGGTTTGTATTGAATTCGCCATCTGTCATTGTGGAATCTTCTGGACCCTTGTCACCAGAGCATTATCCTGGGTCTCTAGATTACTAATCTAGTGACATTGCTACTCTACCTATGCCTCCTTGAATCTCTGATTCTATTATTCTAATTGTGCTAATGTACCAAATTAAACACACAACTTGTGGATTGCTTGTTATATACTAATTTCAAATCTACCTGTCCATGTTATGTACACTCATTATTAAGTTTGTTGAAAATGCTAATTGATAAATTCAAGGGTGACCCAACAGTGGATATCTAATATTTATACTATTAATGGAATACCAAATGACAAGTAGGTAAACTTTTTTTAGTTTTATGCTAGTGTCCTAAATACTTTTATTTGAATGAGACAATAACCAAGCATGGCATCACTTGAGCTCACTTAATCACTTGGTTAAACAAGTTGTCAATAGATGAACTCACAAATACTATAAGTGACATCAGTTGTGCATTAGTATTGACAGTTTGAAGAAACTCTCAGACTGGTTTCTATAGAAAGTGAAAGAATTGCGCAATATGGTGAACAGAGAAGTCGGGCACTGCTGCTTTCTGCCCTATAGACTCTTTCAGTTTCCACATGTGCCACACCACATTGGTGTACTGTGCTGGAAATTAAGTCCTGTTATTCCCAAAGCTGTCAGAAAAGTTAAAGATTTTACCAAAGTATGCAAAACTCCTCAATTTACCTGTATTTTTAGTTAACAGAAAACATGGACCATGGAGTCCTAGAGCTTTTATAGCACATAAAGAGGTCCCTTAAGCATATTGTGCCTGGATCGGTCATCAAACACCCATCTGGTCAAATTCCAAATTTCTGTACTTAACATGAATTGCTATTTATTACAAATAAATAGAGTCTTGCTACAGGTAAACCACTATGAACTGTTGCTGTATAACTCTGTTAGGTAAAAGTCTAAACTCCTTATTTAAAAAAAACCCTACACAGAAAAAGTATTTAGGGTGGAGAGAAAAACTAAAAGGCATTTCAACCTGAAATGATCCTTCTGCTTTTTAGGATTTGCTGTTTATTTATCGCTCTTCTCCCTATGCTTCTAAATTGCCAGAGGAGCAGGACAACTGGTTCACAAAAGTCTCTTTGTTATTGGTTAAAAGCCACAGCTTCCAGCAACTAGTGAGGGAAAAGTAAACTGGTTTCCTTCAGGCTTTAGGGGATTTTTTTATTTAACTGCAAAGGGAGAGAATGCCACCTCGTCTCCATAGGTCTGAAGGCTTCTGGTTATTTCATTCACAACCATGAATATTCACCTACGTAAGAACCAATCACACAGTTTTTGTCAGGCAGAAGACCTTTGTTACGGACAACTGATCATTAGTCCACAGACCAATCAACTACTTATTGTTGGCCAAATCTCATTTTGTATACACCTCGGTGTCAGCCAATCTATAATTACCTCCCCCCTCCTGGCCCCGGCTTTAACAAGCAGCACTGTAAATGTTACTCCCAATGGGTGTAGTTACTTGTTTTATGAAAGTGCAGCAATCCCTTCTACAAACCTTGGTCTTTTTTTAAATCAGTCCTTTTCCTGTGTTAGTCTGCAATCAAAAATACAAAATAAACCAGGTACAATCTTTACATATGTTTTAATGTTCTTATGTAGATGCTTATATAAGACATTTTCACGATGGAGATCATCTGGTAACTCAGGATTGAATGCACTTTGAGTCATTTGGCATCTAAGGAATAAGAATTTTAGAGGAATGTGCTTAGCATTTATAAAATGGAGAATGACAACTTATTAAAGTAGCCTTTTACTGACTTAGAGTAGTTGAAAGATGTGGAAGTAAGAAAAATATTTACATTCATAAAATGCCTTTCACAAAATGTTGGAATGTCCCAAAATCATTTACGGTTAAAGAGTTTCCTGTAAAAAGTAGTTTTTGCTGTGATACGGGGAGAAATTGCTTTGGGATTAGCACAACAACATATCTCTTATGTCTCTTTGTCACAGGAACCTGGTCAAGGGAATAAAACAAATGCGGGAAATATTAAGAGCTATGGAAACGAGGCCCACACAAAATTTCAGAATGGTAAGGCTGAAATGAGACATTTTATAAGTTCTTATTTCTGAACCAGCTGATCATATTGAACACATTTTTTAATATAAGAAGCAAGAGACAAGTCTATGCATTTCTGCATGTACAGAAGACCCAATTCTCTTCTTGACAGCCTGCTAGCATTAGATAATGTGCATCATCCTAAGCTTGTACCCAGTGTTCCCTTTTCCACAATTGGCTCAATTCAATAATGTCACACAGAACACTTGCTGTGAAATCAATGCTGCAGCCTGAAGCTCAGTGTCATCATATTGTATGGCTGGCTATATTTGTGAGGTAGAACAGTAATTCTTGAATAAAGTTGATGAAAGTTTATATTAGCTACAAATGTTGATCAGACTGTCTCAGTTGCCAGAAGGTGTTGAGTATCCGAATGACCAGTTATCAGCCTGAAAGCTTCATATGATACGCAGACTTTTCTCATTAATTTCAATGGCATTTCGTATGCCTTGTTCTCATTTATGGAACCATTAGCTTCATGATTCTTTTATAGAGTTTGCCATTTCTGAGAATCTTGTTTCCAGTAGAATCAGTACAATCATTCAGTATGTAATTAGTGACATGTTAGAGCTTGTTAGAGTTAATGCAGCTTTCTTTTGATTGGATGCTAGTGATGTAATGGTAAAGCCGGGCTAATTTTATACACTGCCAATGAGACACTGATGTGGCCAGTTTTCTCTGAATACTTTAAGTGAATGCTTGTTAATATATCTGTGACTGCGACACTACTAATTTAGAACTCACATCTTACTCTCCTGCCTTTTTACCTTTCAAAGAATATCATAAAAAGTTAAGAATAGGAATTGAAATTCAGTGCAAAGCAAATGTAAAGGGCCCCATTTGAGCTGATGAGTTGCTATTTGAAGTAAATATTCTATTACTGCAATAAGATGTGCCTTACTTTCTTCTATTATTACTGAAAATTGTGGATTATAGGTCAACCCGGCATGTCAAAGTCTTATTTTTGCATATAAGTTGACACACTTTTTGCCATGACATACTATTCTGTCATTAGTAGTCAGCTTCAATTTTGCATGCCATGGAGGCATGTTTTATTTGCCTGTACCTTATAACTGTAGACAAAGGATCAAGCAGTTAAAATTGGTTGCGTTGTGAAGATGCATGAGAGTTTACGACCTGCCCACTACTTGCATCAGATATTGATGACATTTCAGAATAGTGACGATCCACACTCTCCCCTCATGTTTACTTTTGTACTCCGCATATAAGTTGATCAGTATTCTCTCTAATATTTATTTTGGTGCTCAGACCTCTGAGGTCTATGTGCAGCAGCGGTCTGAAACCAGATGTTAGCCCAGAGGCATGATAGTCAGCACGCGCGGAACCTTGGAGAGGCTGCATGTCCATAGTTTAGAGGGAATGTTAAAGTTGATCCCAGTTTTTGGAGGGATCAAAGGTTGACTTTTATATGTCGGCATCTATGGTAATCGTTTATTGTAATTTTTAATATTCAATCTAGTGAGGTTCGAAACTTTGTTCAATTGTCTTCAAGGTGATGTTTCAATTTTCCCTTGCAAGTATTACTAATTGTTATCTCTAGAATCCTGCATGAAACAGGGACCCAGGTTGGATTTCAGCCTTGTGTGACTGTCTACGTAGAGTTTGCACGTTCTCCCTGTGTCTGTGTAGGTTTCTGCGAGGTGCTCCCATTTCCTCCCACAGTCCAAAGATGTGCAGGTTAGGTGGATTGGCCATGCTAAATTGCCCAGTAGTGTCCAAGGATGTGCAGGCTAGGTGGATTACCCATGGTAAATGCAGGATTACAGGGATAGGGTAGGGAGTTGGGTCTAGATGGAATGCTCTTTGGAAGGTTGGTGCAGACTCAATGGGCCCAATGGCCTCTTTCTGCACTGTAGACATTCTATTATTCTATGAATATTATTGTATTGTGACTCAGTCTTACACTAGTTGCACAGTTATTGGGGAAACTCTTCATAATATCAAATTGGAATGTTCATACCACTGCTAGTTACTGTGTGCAGTTTGGTCTTCTTGCTTGAGAAAGGATGTACTGGCACTGCGGGGGATGCAGATGAGGTTCACTAGGTTGATTCCAGAATTGAGAGGGTTAGCTTATGAGGAGAGATTGAGTAGAAGAATGAGGTGGGGTCTTGTAGATAAAGGTAAAATTATGAAAGGAATAGATAAGACAGAAGCAGGGAGGTTGTTTCCATTAATCCCGCCCCCTTGACCTGTCCATCCTCCCTGGACCCGCCTCCTTGACCTGTCCGTCCAACCTGGACTGACCTATCCCCTCCCTAACTCCCCACCTACACTCACCTTTACTGGCTCCACCCCCGCCTCTTTGACCTGTCTGTCTCTTCTCCACCTATCTTCTCCTTTATCCGCCTCCTCCTCTCTCCGTATTTATTTCAGAATCCCCTTCCCCTCCCCCATTTCTGAAGAAGGGTCTAGGCCTGAAATGTCAGCTTTCCTGCTCCTCTGATGCTGCTTGGCCTGCTGTGTTCATCCATCTCTACACCTTGTTATCTCAGATTGTTTCCATTGGTGGGTGCAACTAAAACTAGGGGGCATAGCTCAAATTAAGGTGGACCAGATTTAGGACTGAGTTGAAGAGGATCTTCTTCACCTAAAGGGTTGTGAACCTGTGGAATTCCCTGTCCAGTGAAGCAGTTGAGGCTACCTTGTGGAATGTTTTTAATGCAAAGATGGATTTTTGAACAGTAAAGGAATTAAAGGTTATAGTCAGTGGACGGATAAGTGGAGCTGAGTCCACGAAAAGGTCAGCCATGATCTTATTGAATTGTGGAGCAGGCATGACAAGCCAGATGGCCTACTCCTGCTCCTATTTCTTATGTTCTCCTGAAATGTTAGGTCATTCCATTTTATAGGTACTTTGTAAAAGAAAGAATGCATTTGTAGGGCGTCTATCATGTTCTCACAATATCCTAAAAGCCTTCACAGTAAATGAAGTATATTTGAAGTGTGGCCACTGTGTTGTAAAATAGGGACGAAGTACATTTGTAGACAGCGATACTCAGAACCAACAGTGAAAAAAATGACTAGTTTATCGCTTGTAATAATGTTGGTTGAGTATTAAATGTTGTCCGAACACCAAACAAGAATTCTTGTTCCTCTTTTGCATCTACCTGAAGTAGAATGGATAGGCTGGCTCAATCTCTCATTCAAAGACAGTATTACTTTCATTCTGTACATTCTACAAGATACACACAAGTCTCCTGTATGGCTTAACACCATAATCGCCTGACTGGGGTGAAAATACTACTACTGTGCAAGCTTGGAAAAATTTTCATTGCATTTTTGAAGCTGAGATTATTTGGGCATTGGTACTATTTTAAAATTGATATAAGGACATAAAATGTCAAGGAAGTTGAAAATTATTTTATATATCCAAGCTACCTCTTTGCATATCAAAGGCGTTATCCATAAATTTAACATTTATGAATCAAGTTCTGCAGGATTTATTTACTAATCCACAAAATAGTTGAGTGAAATTCTAGAGCTTCATTATTTAAATCTGACGTGTTTGCTTTCACAGATGATATTATGATGGTCACAGTACCATAGAGACAGAAATCCATCCAGTACTAACTACTTTTATTGGGACATGTTTTGATGTTTTATATTGAAAAATATTGTGGCTATATTTTAATCAACTCTATTGTCATTTTTTTCCCCAGACAATAGCCAAACAACTGGCTGAGGTGCTTCTACGCAATCTATGTGAGAACAGTTATTGGAATCCATTTTCAGAACCACCACCTGATCTGCTCAGAAGTGAGGAAAGTGACCCTTTTCTTATCAATCTAACCACTGGTCCTCAACTGTATCAAGGAGACAGGTATGTGACTTTATTTACGTATACTGTTTATTATTCATTTCCAAATTATATGAAGCTGTACAGAAAGCTCTTGTCATCCCCATGAAAAGAATGTTAAGTTGATTTTGTTTGCAGTGAGTTAGGTGAAATAAAAGTCACTTTCCATTTAAACCCTCCCACAAAACACACCCACATAAAAGAAAAACTGCAAATTTATCACAAAGCCAGATTATAGTCTCCCTTATGCACATGTGCACAAAATTAATATGTAGCAGGGCTAGTTCATTCCTCTGAACAAGTTGTTGAGCATGCAGCACAAATAGCATATTTATTCCCATAGTTTTGCTGTTTCATTTTTTTCCATTTCTTTCGATAATGGATTGAAATTTTGCTTGAAGGGGAGGATAATCCTAAACTATTAAAAAGTATCGCATTGCCTACTGCAACAGAAGGTGTGCCATTGTTCAGTGAGTAACACTTCGTGATCGCGATGTAGCACAAAGATGCAGAGTGAGAAGACATCAGCTTCAATCCCTAATCTCTTCTGACCTAACTGATTTCAGCCAAGACTGAATTAATTCATTCTAAAAATTCACCAACCCGCATTTCCTAGACTCCTGTGAAAGAGGGTCATTTGGTTAAGTACCAGATCTTGGTCAAAGAGACCTTTTTTAAAAAAAGGTAAGATTTTCACTTACATGGCCTGCTGGATATTCCAAAGTACTTTCTGGCTAATGAAGTAATTTTGAAGCACAGTATTATTATGTGGTATTATATTATACCACAGTATTTGGGACAGCAAGCCAAATCGAATCAGCCTCCCTATCCCTGTATTCACAACACAGTAAAACTGAAACATTCAATGACCTTTGAAATTTCCTCACTGGTTCCTAACCAGACTTTAAGAATAACAGATATCAGATGCCAGGTTTACAGCTCAAACAAAAATTAGCAACTTATTAATGTAACTTAAGAGCAAAACTAAACAACAAGGTAATCTAACTATGTGTATGATTTTATCTCAATCTTCTTAAAAATAGCCCTCACTCTCTCTCTGTGATCGCGATGTAGCACAAAGATGCAGAGTGAGAAGACATCAGCTTCAATCCCTAATCTCTTCTGACCTAACTGATTTCAGCCAAGACTGAATTAATTCATTCTAAAAATTCACCAACCCGCAATTCCTAGACTCCTGTGAAAGAGGGTCATTTGGAGTAGGCACTTATTTTTTACAACTGGGATTCTATTCTCTAAGCTTTCAATAAGTATAACTGGAGGGTAACTAGAGAGCAACCAAAACACCTTTCCAACAGCTTTCACAGCCACAGCCTTTCTGTCTAAAACACAGTTCAAACTTTGGTTTCTATTTCTGTTTTTTTCCAACATTCTCTTTGTTAGTTGGTACTAGCCTCCCTCAGGGCCCCTTTTAACATTCAGACATTCACCAGCCTTTGAGCTGAAACGTATACAGTGTTCTTTGAACAATAATCAACCTGCAATTAATTTCCAGGCCAGGTCCCGTAAATAAATATCAGTTTGTTTTCTCTTTCCATTTTTTGTTTTAAAAAACAAGCTGCTGCTCGCAGTTTAGATATCACCTTCAATTCACAACACCTGGCCCCAACCGAAAATGAGAAAAGAATAAATGTAAAATATTGAATGTCTCAACACGCCTCCAACCTCAAAAGAATGAAATGCCATTTCAAAAATGCATTTCATGACAAGGTTTATAACACTTTAAATGATGAAAACATCACAAAACTCACAGCCACTCACTTCTTCTCCCACCAAATTTTTTCTTGGTTACATTCTTACTTTTGAGATAAAGCATCAGCAGGTACATTTTCTTTCCCAGAAATATGTATGATTTTTACCTTAAATATTTGCAACAACAAACTCTATCTAAGCAATCTCTGAGTTTAATCTTAAATCTGTCAATGGAATACGATCAATAAAAACCAAAGTTTCATAGTTTCCATGTTGAACATAAGATCTGAAATGTTGATGAGCTTCCAACGCTGCCAATGCCTCCTTTTCTGTAGCGGAATATCTTTCTGATATTGATTCAGTTGCTTGGAAAATAACCCACTGGCTTCTCCATTCTGCCCTTGATCCCAGAGGAGAACTTCTCCAATCCCTAAATTGCTCACGTTTATTGCAAATTTAAACGGCTTATTGAAGTTAGGTACAGTTTATACAGGTTCATTTGTTAATATTGTTTTCACCTTTTCAAATGCTGCCTGACATTTTGTTGACCATATCATCTTCAGCTGTTGTTGCAGCAAGTTGACTACAGGTAGAGCTATTGCACTAAAATTAAGTACAAACATCCACTAAAATTCATCCTTTCCCAAAAACCTCATTATGTTATGTTTTGTTTTAGGGATGAGGAAGTCAATCAAGGCTGTTACTTTTGCTGTCCTGGGTAGACAATGAGCTAGTGGTATTATTGTTAGGCCAATGTTCTGGGGACCTGGGTTTCAGTCCCACCATGGCAGATGGTGGAATGTGAATTAAATAAAAAGCAGAAGTAAGAGTCTAATGATGAAAATTGCTGATTGTCCAGGGGTAAAACCCATCTGGTTCACTAATGTCCTTTAGGGAAGGAAATCTGCCATCCTTAGCTGTTCTGGCCTACATGTGACTCCAGACCCACAACAATCTGTTGGCCCTTAACTCTTGACTCTAGGCAATTAGGGATGGGCAATAACTTCTGGTCTGGCAAGTGATGCATCCAGTGAATAAAAGGAAACTTGTGCTTGCTGTATATTATGGCCCACATATGTCATCTCAGCTTTTGCTAGATTTAACATCAACTTAATTAACTGTAATTGTTTAAACAAGGTTTCTAATTGTTATACACGTTCTTTTCATGCAATACTATATACTATGTTATCATCCAAGTAAACTATATAATTCGGAATTTTGACCATAACTCTGTTTATTAATCATTGAGATGTGTCTGGGGAAATTGTGAAATCCAAATGGTATAACCAACATTGGTACAATCCATTGCGTGTGACAAAAACAAAAACTTCCTTAGCCCTTCTTGTCTGTGGTACCTGCCAGTATCCTTTTTAATAAATCAATTTTAAATCAGAATGACACATTACCAACCCTATCAATGCAATCTTCTAGTTTGGGAATATGGTATGAATATATCTTTGTGATTGTATTAATTATCCAATTGTCTACATTCAAGTCTAGTTGAACCATCTGACTGATGAACTAATACTACTGGAAAACGCCAATTACTCTGCCTTGGTTAGATCAATTGATTCTCCAACATCTATTGAATTTCGTTTGTTACTTGGGCTGTTTTGACTAATATGGGTTTTGTTTTACTGGATTTGAATTACCTACATCAACATCATGCTTGGTTAATGTGGTACACCCAAGTGTGTATTTGTATCTCCCGAGCAATCTCACTGTACCTATCTATTATTCTTTCTCGAGATACAAAAATACAGTGTCTAAATTCTCTAATATCTCTGAATTTGTTAATCTAATATCAGGAAGTTTGCTTTGGGAATTGGCCATTTCTCCTTCACTCTCATCCTTCTTTCTTTTATCTTCCATACTTTGAATAGATACGTCACCTTCCTAGCCTTTTAACGTATTTTGTTGGGACCATTCAACTTCGCTTTTAATGACTCAACTTGTATTGGCAACAATACCAAAATTTCATCTTTGCTTCACAATTTCTAGTTGTCATGTTTATCTGCCCACTGTTTCATTTTGTTTTTGTGAAGTTTTCCGATGTTCTTGTGCAACTCTACACACTCTGTATCCACATTTCTCGGAAGGTTGACATTCTGTAATATTGAAGATTAATTTTTCTGACTCAACAATTTATCCCTAATCGGTTTCAATGGTCTTCTTAATTCATAGCCGTAACTTATTCAAATGGGCTATAGCCAGTAGATTCATTTGGAGAATGTCTGATTGCAAATAGGAGAAAATCTAAACCTTTATCCCAATCCTATGTACACTCATAGCAATCGCCTTTGATCATAGTTTTGAGAATCTGGTGAAACCTCTCTAAAGCACATTGGGACTGTGGATGGTACACAGTTGATTTCAGTCATTTATTCACCAATACTGACAATATCCTTAAAAGGTTTTGACATAAAGCCGCTGACGAGGTGGCCAATTGGTTAAGGCAGTGGACTGTTAATCCATTGTGTTCTGCACGCGTGGGTTCGAATCCCATCCTTGTCGATGTTTGACGTAAAGTTTGACTCTTAATCTGACAATACTTCCATGGGTAGACCATAGCAAGTGAAAAATGTATTAGTTTTTCCATAACGTCTTAGCTCTGATTTTACTAAAGGAAATAGCCTGTATAAATTGAGTAGCCATATCCAAAATTGTAATAATACATTCATTTCTAGCTTTTGTTTAGGTTATAGTCCTACACAATCAAAAGATGGTATTAGAATCGGGCGTGCTGGTTTAATTACGTCCTGAGATTTACCTACGACTTGATAAGTATTGCATGTTTTACAAAACTGCACAACATCTGTATGCAGTTTTGGCTAATAAAATGCCTGTTCATGGAAACCTGACTCTTTAGAATCCTAACATGTCCTGCCATGGGAATTTAATGTGATACTCACAATATCTTCCTACAATAGATGGGCAGTACCACTATCTGATGAATGACTGTCTGTTCTTCATCTGTGCATCTGCGAGGGGGTCTTTACCTCCACATCTGCACTCTTCTTAAGATATCAGCACTCCAGAACTCCTTCGACCTCTACTTCAGTATGAGCTGACTGCTAATTTATTTAATTCAGGATCTCCTTTTATTTGCCTCAATTAGAAATGTTATATAAAACACTCATTGATTCATAGCTTCATACAGCACAGAAAAGGCCCTTTGGCCCATTGAGTCTGTACTGACATAACTACCACTAAAAATACGCTAATCCCAATTTCCTGCACTTGCCTCAGATCCTTGAACGTTATGACATTTGAAGTACTCATCCAAATATTTTTTAAAACTTGTAAGGTCCAGCCTGCAGTGCATTCCAGATGAGTGAGAAAGGTTTTTCCTAAATCCCCTCTAAATCTCCAGCCCCTTACCCTAAAACTATGCCCTTTAGTGATTAACTATCACCTAAATTATCTTCACCTTTGAGGAAAGTTTTAGTTACCTTTTTTGTTTGTGGTGTTATTATTGACCTTTATTGATGAATTTGATTTAACCATCGCTCTGGTTACTACACATGAAAGGAAAATACCCAGAACCTATTCCTATAATCATTCTGTTTCTTGGACCTTGTAATTATAGGCAAACCTTTAAGTCACACCAATTTGTTACCCAGAAGTAAGTCTACTCCTTCAATATGTAATGTCTTTACTACTCTGACAATTACTTCTCCTGATAAGGTAACACATTACAGTTAGATTGTACAATGGAACCGGAATATATTCTCCTCCAATTATTAGTACCATAGCTTTAACGAAATGTCTGAACAGATACCTAAATCTTTCTCTAGTAAATGTGTTTGTGTTTCCCCTGAATACTCTTTAATATGGTAATTGGTTTAGATACCTCACCTGAAGGAAAATGAGACACTTTCTCCTCAACAAAAATCTTGCATACCTCTCATGTATCTTACATATTTCTTTGTTTATAACAGAATTCAGTTCTGGTTTTTTCGTTACAATTATACCTACAGTCTGGCCTGTGATGTTATCTTTTTGAGTTCCCTTCTCTGACTTAGTTAATGCTTAATAATTCCTATGATTCCCATTTTTTTACCTCACAACTTGTATCTTTCTGAACAAATATGGCCTAATTTTTTCCTCTCTTGATTACACCTAAAAGCTGGATGTTCTCTTCCTGCTGCTGGAGTCGCACATGAGACCACCTGTTTTTCTGAATTTGCCTTTTGCCTCGGCTGTATTTATGGGATATTACTATATTGGAACAATTACTGTTTAGTAATGAAATAATCTATTATTCTGTTAAGTTTTTCAGTAGAGTCAAGTTATTCAATTTGTTTTGTTGTATTTTAACTATAGTGTATAAATAAAATGTGTTCTGCTTTAAATCTGCCGGTTTCATCAATCAAATTGCATCTGAAACACAACACCTTACCCTTACCTTTGAAATAAGAAAAAAAAGGGTCTGGACTATCTTCTGAATATATTTTTGAGGGGGTTTGGTCTGGCCCATAACAAAAGCGTAAGTGCGTCTCAGCTGGGCTGCAATTTTGGAAACTGTGAAGAAAGGAAATTTGCAATCATATTCTAGAATGGGATTCTGTTATTCAAAATAAAATACACGTGACCAAAGTTTCCTCTATTAGTTGCTGTCATCTTTTCCACGCACCATTGTCACCCTCTGGCTGTTCCTCATGTTTGAGCCTCGGCAATGAATAAAATTTAACTATTGGGACTATAACTGCTGAGGTGTGTTCAGTTCTCATCTGATATGGCCGTAGTTCCCAGCAGTTATTACTGGATACAGAACAAGAAACCCCTTCTCAGCCCAAGGACATTGAGACTTAGCTAAGTACCCTCATCCTACTGTGGCTGAGATCAGGTACCTTTGCACAGACCTGCATTTAAACTTTGAGCTATCTTCGTCTGTACAAATCAATACCACATCACATGGTGCACTTATTCATTGAACCCTTGAATGCCTGTATGTTTTAATCATCATCAATTGTGTACAGATGTATCAGCGACTGAATGTAAAGGTGCTTCACAGCATGCGCGTTGAAAAGCACAGAATTAAGTTTTTATACCATTTTCAAAAGAGGCTTTTTTAATCATTGATGAATCATACATTGTATCTTTAGTTACTGGCCTTGTTCTAAAAATGAATGAAAGAAATCAAGAAGTGTGCACTTTGCCTAGTTCAGTGCATTATTTGTTTTTTTTTCAGTCTCTTCTGCCCAAAGGACATTGTTGAAGAAGCACTCCTACTCCTCCTTATCAGCGAGTCAATGGTAAGCTACACTGTTAACTAAGAATAAAAATTCTAGTTACTTTATTGATGAATCATAAATTTTTCAGATACATAGTCTTATCAACTGAGCTACAAGGAAAACTCCACTTTATTTTTGATGGAGAGCCTCATTTTCTTGCCCCACAAAAATGCCCTGCAACTACAACTTTCTTTCTCTTATGATGAAACATATACTGACTCTGTAGAAATTCTGTGTTGCTTTCTGCTAAAGTAGCTTATTTTAATTAGAGTATAACTAGAACTATTTGTTAGTGTTTTTAGTGCAGTGGTAGTGTCCCTGTCTATGTTACAGAGGTCCTGGGTTCAAGCCCCACCTGGTCCAGAGATGTGTTATAAACATGTCACAACAGATTGTTTAAAAATATTGACAATCATTTGTTGCTATCACTTTGCTCCTCCTGGAAGTTTTGTGAATATTGGGGTCATGGAAAAGATTGACCATTGGCTGTGATGCCTCCTATCTTGCTCATGATTGAATAGCCTTTAGTGGCTCAATAGATTTTTGTATCACTAATAAATGAAATACTGGAGGAATCAAGGTATTTGTGGAATTCTATCCCAGAATGGATCAAGCAGAGCAGGGGAAAAACAATTAAAAGTTGGAAGGGGAAGGGGAAGGGAAAATCGAAAAGGTAGCTGCTAGGGTAGGTGGTTGCATAGTGGTATTCTCACTGACCGAATTGTCATAAAAACACCAGACTAGCTGAGATTATTCAGGGAATGAAATCTGTCATCTTTATCTGGTCTCGCTTTGTCTCCATGTGACTCCAGACTCCGAGCAATATGGTTGACTCTTGTCTGTCCTCTGAAATGGCCTAGCAAGCCACATAGGTTTTATAAGTCTAAAGAAAGGAATAAAACTGGATGGACCAGACTAGCATCAGTCTAGGCACTGGAAAAGACAACTGCAAACATGGCCTTGTCGATCCTCCAAAGATGCAGGCAATGTCTCTGATCCCACAGGTGGTAGCAGAGTGGCATTCAATCAGCAAGGAATAGCCTTGGGAGCCCTCAATATGGACTCCAGACTTCATGAAGTCCTATACCATCAGATCAAACATTGGCAAAGAGACCTCCTACTGATTATCATGCACTCCCTTCATTTGGCTGATGGATTAATACTCCTCTATGTTGAACACCACTTGGAGGAAGCATTGAGCATGCTTTGAAATGTACTGTGGGTGATGTAATTTAATGTCTATCATGAAGGGTGGCATAGTGGCATCACTACTGATGAAGGTAGCCTAGTTGTAAAGGACATAACTGCTGGACTGTAAGTGAATAAACTAAAAATCTGAAAATTTATTTGACCTTGTCTTCACCAATCTGTTGGCCATAGATACATCCATCTGCAAAAGTATGGTGGGAGTGACCACCACAGAGTCCTTGTGAATTGTAATCTGAAAAGTGGAAGAAGTGTCAAACAAGAGTAATAGGATGGTTAAGAGACACTCGCCTTTATCAATCGTGGCATAGAATATAAGAGCAGGGAGGTTATGTTGGAGTTGTACAAAACTTTGGTTAGGCCACAGCTGGACAACCGTGTGCAGTTCTGGTCATCACACTGCAGGAAGGATGTGATTGCACTGAAGGGGGTGCAGAATGCCAGGCAGCCTTTGATAAACTGAAAGCAATCTTAAGAAATGAACTATAGTAACGACACCTAACTTTAACAAATCACTGATCTGGACAATATCCAGGCTTGGACTGACAAGTGGAAAGTGACATTCGTGCCACACAAATGCCAGGCAATGACCACCACCAATAAGAGACAATCTAACCACTACCCCTTGACATTCAGTGGTGTTACCACCACTGAATCCCCCACTATCAACAACTTAGGTGTTTATCATTAACCAGAAAATCAACTGGACACACTACATAAACACAGTGGCTACAAGAGCAGGCCAGAAGCTAGGAATACTGCAGCGAGTAACTCACCTCCTGACTCCTCAAAGCCTGTCCACCATCTACAAGGAGTGAGATGGAATAATCCCCACTTGCCTGGTTGAGTGCAGCCCCAGCAACACTCAAGCTTGACACCATCCAGGACAAAGCAGCCCACTTGATTGGCACTACATCCACAAGCATTCACTTCACCACCGATGCTCAGTAGGAGCAGTGTGTACTATCTACAAGATGCACTGCAGAAATTCACCAAAGATCCTCAGGCAGCACCTTCCAAACCCGCGACCACTTCCACCTAGAAGGACAAGGGCAGCAGACATATGGGAACACCACCACCTCCAAGTTCCCCTCCAAGCCACTCACCATCCTGATTTGGAAATATATCGCCATTCCTTCAGTGTCGCTGGGTCAAAATTCTGGAATTTTGTCCCCAGTAGCATTGTGGGTCAACCCACAGCAGGAGCACTGCAGTAGTTCAAGAAGACAGCTCGCCACCACCTTCTTAAAGGCAACTAGGGATGGGCAAGAAATGCTGGCCAGCCAGCAATGCCCACATCCCACAAATGAAAGGAAAAAAGAAGATTTAAATGAGCAGTAGATGCTAGTGATTTGGTCATTGGGGTAATTCTCTTACAGGATGACAAAGCTGGAATGGTGCAGCTAGTGGGTTATTTTTCCAAGAACCAAAAGAACTGCAGATCCTGTAAATCAGAAACAAAAACAGAAGTTGCTGGAAAACCTCAGCAGGTCTGGCAGCATCTGTGAAGAGTAATCAGAGTTAATGTTTCAGATCTGGTGACCCTTCCTCTGAACCTTTTGACCATTCTGAGGAAGGGTCACCAGACCCAAAATGTTAACTCTGATTTCTCTTCACAGATGCTGCCAAACCAGCAAATTCTGTTTTTCATTTTTCCAAGAAGTTGATTCAGCATCAGATTAGATGTTCCACTAAGAAAAGTAGGAATTGTCAGGGTTGGCAGTTCTTCAAAACTTAGCAATTTATGTTTGACATGGGAACTTTGAGAGTGTTTTTTTTACTGATCATAATCTATTAACTTTAACTGGGAGATTTAAGACTAAAAGTGTGAGATTGTTTGGATGGAGTTTGTTATTGCAACTTTTTAATGTAAAAATTATACATGTTGCAGGTAAAGAAAATGTAATTGCTGATGCTTTATCCTAAATGTGAACTGTGAAAAATTTAAGAAGAGATATGCTTTAATTGTTTTAAATAAATATTTGCATTTCGCTGTGTTATGAATCCAGTGATAATGAGGTTGATTTTATTTGATTTGGCTTCCTAACCCTGTTTCGTAACAAGATGTTTATTAATAGTTGTAATGGGAATTGTATTCAGGGGAAGTTTCATAAATCCATGAGGAAGAAAGGAACAGAAGGATATGCAGGTAGGATTAGGTGAAATGAGGCCTGCAAATTGTGTTGGGAATAAACACTGGTATAGACCCATTGAGCCAAATGGCCCATGTCAGCAGTAATTCTACATGTGATTTACCACCACATATTTAACTTGCTAAAAGAGAAATCAATTTTGTTTTCCCCATTGGAGGACAGATATTATCCCAATTGTTTAGCAAATGCTTGCAGAACATAAGAACATAAGAGCTAGGAGCAGGAGTAGGCCGTCCGGCCCTCCGAGCCTGCTCCGCCATTCAATAAGATCATGGCTGATCTTTTCGTGGACTCAGATCCAGTTACCCGCGTTTTCACCGTATCCCTTAATTCCTTTAGGGATTGCTGTTTGTATTCAATGCGGTTAAGTCAGATTGATGCTACTTTATTTTGATTGTGGAGCAACTCATGGTTTTATGTCTGGATTTCTTTTTCAAGAAAATCAATTTCAATTGATCTGGCCAGAAGAAAAAATATCATTCCAATCATGGTGACTATCTTTAAGTATTAGTCATTTCCCTTTTCTAGGACGGTTCATTGATTAAAGAAAAGTGCAGTTGATGCAAAATGTCATATGTTATTGACAAAATGACTGCAGATGAATCCAATATTGTTAATGCACAGTGCATTAATACATAAGAAATTAATACAAGGTGTTTATACATACATAGTTTAATATTGTAATGCTGTGGATTTGCAAGGATTTTGTTTTACACCTTATTAAGCAAAGATTAGATTACAGCAGGAACAGCTAAATACCCATCAATGCATATGATATCCATTTATATTGTGGAACCTTCCAGTGTTTAGAGTGTCACAATATGATGTTTCTGCCTTTGTGTGGAATGGTTCCGTTTTTAGTATAGGGTACATTTCATACATTCATGTGAAGCAAAAAGAGGTCATTCGGCCCATTGTGCCTTAAAGATTAGTCCTGTAGCTCAGCAAACATTTCCTTTTAAAAATGTCTTTGATAGTTGTTACTGATTTTGCTGCCACCATACTTTCAGGCAGTACAGTCCAGATCATCATAACTCTGTGTAACAAAATAGACCTCACTTTTTCGCTAGTGTTTTCGCTATTTAATCATAAATTTGAGCATCCTGGTTATCAACCTGCCTAGTGCTGAACATAATTTTTCTTTATTTATTCTGTCAAAACTTTTCAGAATTTTTGTTCTCCTTAGAATTATCTTGGTTTCTTTAGTCTCTTTACATAGCCAAAATTGAAGCTTCTCATCTTGACCTCATCAGAGCTAATATGACGCTTTGTCAGAACAGAATGGTGGGTATACTTTTCTGAGGCCTGCAGGGACAGGCTGGATGAGCACAATCAGTATACTACCAGCTGTGAATGGTCAACAGGATGTGTTGAATGACACAGTCTACAAGTTGTTGGGATGTACAGCCCACATACCTGGCATCACACTGGCACTGAACCTCCTATTATATTATTTATTTGTGTGGTAGGTGCAAAATGTTTTTAGCTTGACAGCAACGTCATGTTCGTGAAAGGGAAAAGAAACACTCATGGATTTGCTGCACAGTCGCTGCATGAAACAGCTAGCTTTACCTGTTGTTCAAATTTTTGAGACACTGTCCCCTTTTAGGTTTATCTGAAGTAGGCTGGGTACTGTTCGGGCCTAAAGATAGTAGATGTAGA